TTCCTAGTAAAATCGGCTTTTCCGGAAAATTTGAGGATAATGGGGAAAAACGGAGGTCATATTTGGATTCAGCGCCCTAAAATGCATTAAGATCACCTAATTTTGTCCACGAGACATTTTTTTTATTTTGGTTTGTTGTACAGTATAATGAGGCATATAACGAAAGATGGACATTAGCGGTTTTCGCATGATTCGGACCACGGCCCCCCCTGAAAAGAGGTTCAAACGTAAGGAACAAACATTTTCACCGCATTAATGAGTGTGTCTAACCTCCGAGAGTATTTTAACCCAAAAATCTCAAAATTGAAAAAAATGGACATTAGCGGTTTTTGCACGAGCCGATTCAATTGTTGTGAAGAGTCCCATAGGATAAAGGAAGAACCTGTGCTTTATAAAGAAGTTATTCGTCAAATTGATTTACCAATGCAAGAGAAAATTTTCATTTTTAAGAAGAGAGCTAGATTTATGAATGAGGATCTTGAAGGGCTGGACGATCCACTACTCTCTGTCCTAGTTTCGGAATCTGACGAAGGGTGTGCTGCGAGCGCCTCAATCGTCACCCGCTGAAGATGGGATCAGTTAGGCTCCCGAAACTAATTTGTCCTTTTTTTTGTTAATATCAAGGTAATTTGAAAGTTTGAGTTTTTTATGCGACTCATTTCTCGTTCATAATTTAGATTCCTAAAATAGTACAACAGATCACGCTTCGACTCAATAAACACACGGTCGAGATAGGGGTGATGGCGGTGGGCGGGGCCTCGTATACCAACTGACGGCACAGCCAACGGAAATCGTTTATTTTTTACCGCGATTTTGCGACTTTTTACCGAGCTTTTTCGGAGCTTTTAATTCAATTCCGGAAGTTGCAAATGCGAAAAATGGGTTTTTCGCGAAAAGTTCTGCCAGAAGGAATCATCAGATCTAACATCTCAGCTGCATGCAATGAATCTGAAGATGACCTTTGTTTTTCTTTATCGTGCACAGATTTTCCGGAAAATTGATTTTTCTCTGTGAAAGCTAGTGTTTAGGGAAAATTTCGATTTTTCTGGCGGAAATCGACGGAGCCCAGCTAAACGGAGGTCATTTTCGGACTCAGTGCTATGAATCTCCTCACGTACAGATAACAGTTAGGTTGTAAATTTATAAAAGTATTTTTTTTTTGACCAGCGTAATTCGTATCGATCTCATCATATAAATTTATGTTGATCCTAAAAATATATGATCAAAATCCTGTGGCTTTTTTATTTAATCTGAAACTGAATTTTGTGCTCCTAGGTAAAAGACAATGATGTAAAAGGCATTCAATTGACAGTTCTGTCTCCCGTCACGCAGACAAACATTGTAGCTCAAATATCAGTGAATAACCCAGAGCATTTACGCACACTCCAAGCGAGGTTGTACCGCGATGATAGAGCTGATAAACCCACGGCCTCTGTAAAACTGAGCAACTGGAAATGGTCCACATATGCACTCAATTCAGGCCTCATTACCTTGCCTTCTGTCTCAATGGATGGTGCACGATACCTCTTCCAGCTTGAATCAAGTTTGTCCCAAAATTCTCATTCTTACACATTACCATCAGTTAGTTTTATTGCAAACGATTCCTTCCAGTTAATTAAAGCTGTATTTAATCCTGAGCCGCGACTCAGTGAAAGTGAATTCAACAACAAATCCTTCATAGTAGTTCTCATTTTAGCTTCACTGGCCATTGCTTACTACAAACAAGATGTGTTGATGAATTGTATCATCCCGCTCACAGCAATACGTTGGACTTCACGAGAATATAAAAGAGTTGTAAATGATGAAAATAACTCAGATGTAGTAATTGTCGAGCCAGTTAGTATTAAGAGAAAATTGAAGCCGAAAAAGCTGTAGTAATTATTGCATTTACATCAACTTCCTAATATCCTAAGTTTTATCAGAAAACGTTGGAAAGTCATATTCTATTTACACCTTAGGGGGGTATTTTATTGTAGGATCTATTACATTATTGAACGGTTGAGGAGAAAACATGCAACACCTGTGAAAACAGTTTTGTTAGTAGATTTTGGGAAGCAGTTTATCATTTGTAAATAAACTTTGTTTACAAGGTTTTAGAAATCGAAGTTGATCAGTATTCCACGTTTTTTCCGGAATGTATAATGTTGACTAAATTAGTCATCGTCTCTTTTTAAGCAATCCTCAATTTCTATGACTATTTCTAAATCATGAGTTATACAAATTAAAGTTTGGTTCCCATTGGTTCAATGTGGAGAAATTCTTTTATGTCACCCTTGAAGAAACAAAAATCAGTCACTGTCAGTGTTTCTTACAAGAACTACTGATAGCATTTATCTTCATGCTTGTGAGCAAGATTATTGTTAGTCAAGTGTATAGGAGGAGACAATATTATTCACGTAAAACAACCTCTGTGTCTGGCCGACATTTCTTGTCCATTTTGAGGTACATTTATTTCGAGTGATGCCCCAAATAATTCTCAAAATCTCTTGATCAGTTGCAGAGAAAATAATAAAAGTCAATGTAGTAGGTAATGAGAACTGAAACCTGAATTCATTCTAAGGTATTTTACTCCTCTCCATCTTTCTGAATTTTTTGCAACAGTATAAGAAATTAAAGTGGACTTGAAGGAGTTTCCCTCGAAAGAGCCGTATGCAAAAACGACATTTTTCGCCCTCCCCCCCCCACTAAAACTTATTCAAACTTCGTCTATCAGTTACTAATACTGGAGCACTTC